CCAGGCAGGTTCTGAAACCATCCAGTCACGGCCTGCCATCAGTCAGGATCTGTTGTCATGTGGTTTCCTCTGTTGTCATGTGGTTTCTGAAAGCATCCAATCACGGCCGGCTGGCTGTCAGTCAGGCTCTGTTGTCATGTGGTTTCCTCTGTTGTCATGTGGTTTCAGAAGCCATCCAATCAGGGCCTGGTGCCAGGCAATTTCTGTGGTCAGCGGCCATCTTGGCATGACCTTTTCTCCTCGGCGGCCATCTTGGCATGACCTTTTTCCCTCAGTGGCTATCTTGACAGGACCTCTTCACCTTAACGACCTTTTCACCTTACCCCTTGCCATAGTGCACAGGGAACCTGTCAGCCTGCGACCAGACACTCCCCCTTAGCTCTCATGCCTGGACATTTTGGTCCAGGATCCTTTCCGTCTGTGGCCAAACCTGGGAACCTTTCCATCTGCGGCAGGAATCTCACGTCCTTGGCTCACCTGCCTGCCCCTGAGGGGACCAGGAACCTGTCGGTCAGCAGCCAGAGCCCACCCCCTTAGTCTCCACTGAGTGGCCCTGACGGGACCGGGAACCTGTCGGCCTGCTGACGGAACCCCACGTCATTGGCTCCGCTGACTGCCCCTGACAGCATGGGAACCTGTCAGTGTGTGACCGGAAACCAACCGCTTTAGCTCCTCTGCCTGCCCCTGATGGAGGTGGAATCCGTCACTCTGCGGCCAGAACCCCACATCCTTGGTTCCACTGACTTCCCCCTAATGGACCCAGAACCTCTCAGCCTCTGGCCAGACCCCACCTCCTTGGCTCCCCTTCCTGCCCCTGATGGGACCGGGAATCTGTCAGTCTGCCGCCAAAACCCCACCCCTTAGCTCCCCTGCCTGGCCGTTCTGGACTGGGAACCTGTCAGTCTGCGACCAGAACCCCACCTCCATGGCTTCCCTGACTGCCACTGACAGAACTGAAACCCTGTCAGTCTGCGTCCAGAACCCCGCCTCCTTAGCTCCCCTGCCTTTCCCTGATGGGACCAGGAACCTCTCAGTCTCTGAGCAGAACCCTACTCCATCTGCTCCCCTTCCTGGACATCCTGCACCGGGACCTGCCAGTCTGACTCCAGAACCCAAACTCCTTAGGCTCCCCTGCCTGCCCCTAACAGCACCGGGTCATGTCAGTCTGCGACCAGAGGCTCACCTGTCTGCCCCTGACTCGACCAGGAACCTGTCAGTCTGTGGCCAGAACCCCACGTCCTTAGCTGCCCGCCTGCCTTTGATAGACCTGGAACCTGGAGTCTGCAGAAAGAACCTCACCACCCTGCCTCCCTGTCCTACTCCACACGGACATGGAACCTGAAAGTCTGCCGCCCAGAACCCCACATCCTTAGCTCCTTTGGCTGCCCCTGATGGGACCAGGAGCCTGTCAGTCTGCATGCAGACTTCCTGTCCTTAGCTCCCCTTATTGCCCCTGACTGGACCAGGAACCTGTCAGTGTGCAGCCAAACCCCACATCCTTAGCTCCACTGCCTACCCCTGTTGGAAATGGAACCCGTGAGTCTGTGGCCAGAACCCCACCCACTTTGGCTCCCCTGCCTGCCCTTGACGGGACTGGGAACCTGTCAGTTGCGGCCAGAACCCCATGTCCTTAGCTGCCCTTCCTGCCCCTGACTGGACCGGGAACCTGTCAGTGTGCAGCCAGAACCCTACATCCTTAGCTCCACTGCCTGCCTCTGTTGGACCCAGTACCTGTAAGTCTGCGGCTAGAAGCCCAGCTCCTGGGCTCATTTCCCGCCCCAGATGGACCCGGAATGTGTCAGTCTGCCACTAGAACCCTAACTTCTTTGCTCCCCTGACTTGCCCCTAACTGGAGTAGGAACCTGTCAGTCTGCAGCCAGAACCCCCACCCTCTAGTCTCTGCTGAGTGCTCCTGACAGGACCGGGCACCAGTCAGTCTGCGGCCAAAACTCCACCCCCTTAGCTCCCTTGCCTTACCTACCGGGCCAGGAATCCGTCAGTCTGTGGCCAGAACCACACGTAGCTAACTCCCCTTCCTGGCGTCACTGGACCGAAACGTGTCACTCTGAGGCCAGAACCACCCTCCTTGGCTCCCCTGACTGCCACTGATGGGACCGGGAACCCGTCAGTCTGCAGCCAGAACCCCAACCCTTGAGGCTCCAGTGAGTCCCCCTGATGGGACTGGGATCCTTTCAGTCTGCGGACAGAACTCCACCCCTTAGCTCCCAGGCCTGCCCCTGACTAGACCAGGAACCTGTCAGTCTGTGGCCAGAACCCCACCTCCTTGGCTCCTCTGACTGTCCCTGACTGGACCAGGAACCTGGCAGTCTGTGGCCAGAACTCCACCCCTTAGCTCCCCTGCCTGCCCCTGACTGGACCTGGAATCTGTCAGTCAGCCTGCGGAAGGAACCCCATGTCCTTAGCTCCCTGCCTACTCCTGATGGGACCAGAGACCTGTCGTCATTCTGTGGCCAGAACCCCACCTCCGTAGGCTACGCTGCCCGCCCCTGACTGGACCAGGAACTTGTGAGTCTGCAGCCAGAACCCCACCCCATCAGGACCCCTACCTACCCTCTATGGACCCGCAACTGTCACCTGTGGCCAGAACCCCGCCTCCTTAGGCTCCCCTGCCTACCTGTGACGGGACTCGGAACCTGTCAGTCTCGACCAGAGCCTAACCTGCGTGGCTCCCCTGACTTTCCTGAGGGGGCCAGGAACCTGTCACTCTGTAGCCAGAACCCCACCTCATTAGGCTGCCCTGACAGCAACGGGAACCTGTCAGCCTGTGGCCAGATCCCCATGTCCTCAGCTCCCCTGCCTGCCCCTGATAGACCTGAACCTGTCAGTCTGTGGCCAGAACCAACCTCCTTGGCTCCCCTGACTGCCCGCGATGGGACCAGGAACCTGTCATGCTGCTGCCAGAACCTTAGCCAGAACGCCTTAGCTTCCCTGCCTGGCCATATGGACCGGGAACCTGTCCATGTGCGGCCAGAACCCCACATGCTTAGCTCCCCGGCTTGTCCCTGACTAGACAGGGAACTTGTATGTCTGTGGCAGGAACACCATCCTCTTACACTACCCTGCCTGCCCCTGACTGGACCAGAGCCTGTCATTCTGCGGCCAGAACCCCACCTCCTTGGCTCCCCTGACTGCCTCTTTCTGGCATGAAAGTCTAGGACTACAACCCCACCTCTTGGATCCCCTGCCGGCCCTTGATGGAACTGGGAACCTGTCCGTCTGGGGCCAGAACCCCACCTCCTTGGCTCCCCTGCCTGCCGCTGCTGGGACTGGTAGCTTGCCAGTCTAGGGCCAGAAACGCCGTCTTTGGCTCCCCTGCCTGCCCCTGACAGGACCGGGAACCTGTCAGTCTGCGGCAGGAACCCCGAGTCCTTAGCTCTCCTGCCTGCCCCTGACTGACCCAGAACCTGTCACTCTGCGACAGTTCCTGATCCAGTCAGGGGCACTCAGTGGATCCTAAGGGAGTGGTTTCAGGCTGCTGCAGACTGAGAGGTTCCCTTCCCATCAGGGACAGGCAGGGGTCTAAGGAGGTGTGGTTCTGGTCACAGTCTGACAGGTTCCTGGTCCTGTCATGGGCAGGCGAGGGAGCTCATGGTGTGGGGTTTGGGCCGCAGACTGACAGTTTCCCTGTCCAGTCAGGGGCAGGCAGGGAACCAAGACGTGGGTTTCTGGCCGCAGACCAACAGGTTCCCATTCTCCTCGGGGGCAGGCAGGGGAGCTAAGCAGGTGCAGTTCTGGCGGCAGACTGACAGGTTCCTGTGCCAGTCAGGGGCGGGCAGGGGAGCCCAGGAGGTGGGGTTCTGGCGGGAGACTGGCAGTTCCGGGTGCCGTTAGGGGCGTCAGGAGAGCTAAGGGGCTGGGTTTTGATAGCAAACTGACAGATTTCTGGTTCAGTCAGTGGACCCGCGAGGGAGCGAAGGGTGTGGGGTTCTGGCTGCAGACTGACAGGTTCCCTGTCCAGTCAGGGGTACTCAGTGGAGCTTAAGGGGTGGGGTTATGGTGGCAGACTGACAGGTTCCTGGTCGTGAATGGATAGGCAGGGGAGCTAAGGGGGTGGAGTTCTGAACAGACTGAGGTTTCCTGGTCCCATCAGGGGCAGGCAGGGGAGCTGAGGATGTGGGGTTCTGGCCACAGACTGACGAGTTCACAGTCCTCTCAGGGGCATGCTGGGGAACTAACAAGGTGGGGTTCTATGTGCTGACTGACAGGTGTCCGGTCCTGTCAGGGACACTCAGTGGAGCCAATGAGGGTGGGGGTTCTGGCTGCAGCCTGACAGTATGGACGGCCCAGTATGGACAGGCAGGGGAACTAAGGACCCTGGTTTCCTGCCGCAGCCTGACAGTTCCAAGTACCGTCAGGGGCATGTGGGGAGCTGGCGAGTGGGGGTTCTAGATGCTAGCTAACAGGTTCCTCATCCAGTCAGGGGCATGCAGTGGATCCTAAGGGAGTGGGTTTCTGGCGGGAGACTGACAGGTTCCCCGTCCAGTCGAGAGCAGCCAGTGGAGCCTCAGGGGGTGGGGTTCTGGGCGCAGAATGACGAGTTCACAGCCAATGGCTCCCCCCGTCTCAGACACGGGGACCAATCAGACGCTGGGTGGGCAAGTGCTTCCTGTTTCAGCGGCTCGGGGCGGAAGTGGTGTTGAACCGCGATTCCACACAGCTCTCTCCTCTCTTTTCTTTTTAAAAAAAAGCTCCTTCATCTAGTTTTCCTGACCTAAATTATCATTTTGCTTTTATCATCTGTGGGCCATATGTCCTGGTTTCACACCGTCCAGCCACAGTAGGCTTGGACAGGGCGGAGGGGGGAGACTACAACTCCCGGAAGCCTCGCCGCCGACCTCGCCCTCCGTCTGGGCTGGACTCGCCTGGGTGACACGTCGGGCAGCCAATGGCTTCCCCCTGTCTCAGACCCGGGGGCCAATCACAGGCCGGGTAGGTGTGTGCGTCCTGTTTCTGCGACTCGGGGCGGACATGGTCTTGAACCCAGCTCACTTCTCTCTTTTCTTATTTTTATTTTATTTTATTTTATTTTTTGAAGGCAGAGTGGACAGTGAGAGAGAGACAGAGAGAAAGGTCTTCCTTTTGCCGTTGGTTCACCCTCCAATGGCCGCTGCGGTCAGTGCGCTGTGGCCAGCGCACCGTGCTGATGCGATGGCAGGAGCCAGGTGCTTTTCCTGGTCTCCCATGGGGTGCAGGGCCCAAGCACTTGGGCCATCCTCCACTGCACTCCCGGGCCACAGCAGAGAGCTGGCCTGAAGAGGGGCAACTGGGACAGAATCCGGCGCCCCATCGGGACTAGAACCCGGTGTGCCGGCGCCGCAAGGCGGAGGATTAGCCTAGTGAGCCGCGGCGCTGGCCTTCTCTCTTTTCTTGAAAATAAAAGCTCTATGATCTAATTTTCCTGACCTAAGTTATCATTTTTCTTTTATCATCTGTGGGCCATATTCCCTGGTTTCACATTGTCCAGCCACGCTCGGCTTGCACAGAGCGGGGCGGGGAGACTACAACTCCCCAAAGCCTCAGCGGCGGCGGCGACGCTCTACGTGTGGGCTGTACTGGCCTGAGTGACAGGTAGCCGACCCAATGGCTTCCCCGGTCTCAGACTCCGGACCGCTCAGACGCGGGGTGGGTGTGTGCTTCCTGTTTCGGAGGCGTCTGCTCGGGGCGGAAATTCTATATGTAAGAGCTGAGAAAGCTTTCTTTTCTTTCAAAAAAAAAAAAAAAAGCTGTGGGGCCTAATTTTCCACCTGAGCTATCATTTTCCTTTTATCATCTGTGGGCCATATTTCCTGGTTTCACATTGCCCCGCCACCCTCTGCTTGGACAGGGTGGACCGGGGAGACTACAACTCCCCAAAGCCTCAGCGGCAGGGCGCTCTGCGGCTGGGCTCGTCTGAGTGACAGGTCGGGCAGCCATTGGCTTCACGCGGTCTCAGACTCCGTTGCCAATCAGATGCTGAGTGGTTGTGTCGCCCTGTTTCTGCGGCTCGGGGCGGAAATGGTGTGGAAAGGAACCGCCTCGAGCCACGCCCCTCGCGGCTCCTGACTGGACGCGGGAAGTGACGTCTGCGCGCACCACGCGGCAGTCGTCCCGCCCATGTCCAGCTCGGACCGGACCGGGCAGCTTCGGGTCTGTGTCCCGCACGTCCCTGGCAGCCCCTGAGCGGGCGCGTACCCGCCTGTCCGTCCGCCAGAACCTCGCCCTGTAGCTTGGCCCTGCCTGCCCTTGTCTGGGAGGAGGAACGCGCAGTAGGAGCCCAGAACCTGTCTTCTGCCACGCTGCCTGCCCGCGCCCAGCACGGGCGGGACAGGCCGGACTGTTCCTCCTCATCCAGCAGAGCCACTCAGGGCCGGCCAGAGGGCGAGGTTCTGGACCTAGACCTGCGCCTCACTCATCCAGGGAGGCCAGGCAGCCACCGGCGAGGAAGGAGGTGGCGTTCTGAGCGCGCACTGGAAAAAGTCATTAGCGGCAGTGCAGAGGGCGGGAGGAGGCGCACTCCGGCAGCTTCCGGGTCGCGTTAGGGGCAGCAGGAGCGCTAAGGGGGTGGGGTGCTGGCGGGAGACTGACAGGTTCCCGGTCCAGTCAGGGGCAAAAGGAGCGCCAAGGGGGTGGGGTGCTGGCGGGAGACTGACAGGATCCCGGTCCAGTCAGGGGCAGGCAGCACCGCCAAGGGGGTGGGGTGCTGGCGGGAGACTGACAGGTTCCCCGTCCAGTCAGGGGCAGAAGGAGCGCCAAGGGGGTGGGGTTTAGGCGGGAGACTGACAGGATCCCGGTCCAGTCAGGGGCAGGCAGCACCGCCAAGGGGGTGGGGTTTAGGCTGGAGACTGACAGGTTCCCCGTCCCATCAGGGGCAGGCAGGGGAGCTAAGGGGGTGGGGTCCCGGCGGCAGACAGACAGGTTCCCCGTCCAGTCAGGGGCAGAAGGAGCGCCAAGGGGGTGGGGTGCTGGCGGGAGACTGACAGGATCACGTTCCAGTCAGGGGCAGGCAGCACCGCAAAGGGGGTGAGGTTTATGCGGGAGACTGACAGGTTCCTCGTCCAGTCAGGGGCAGAAATAGCGCCAAGAGGGTGGGGTTTAGGCGGGAGACTGACAGGTTCCCCGTCCAGTCAGAGGCAGGCAGGGGAACGCTACAGGGGTGGGGTTTAGGCGGGAGACTGACAGGTTGCCCGTCCAGTCAGGGGCAGAAGGAGCGCCGAGGGGGTGGGGTTTACTCTCTTTTCTTGAAAATAAAAGATCTTTGATCTAATGTTCCTTACCTAAGTTATCATTTTTCTTTTATCATCTGTGGGCCATATTCCCTGGTTTCACATTGTCCAGCCACGCTCGGCTTGCACAGAGCGGGGCGGGGAGACTACAACTCCCAGAAGCCTCAGCGGCGGAGGCGACGCTCTACGTGTGGGCTCTACTGCCCTGAGTGACAGGTAGCCGACCCAATGGCTTTCCCGGTCTCAGACTCCGGACCGCTCAGACGCGGGGTGGGTGTGTGCTTCCTGTTTCGGAGGCGTCTGCTCGGGGCGGAAATTCTATATGTAAGAGCTGAGAAAGCTTTCTTTTCTTTCAAAAAAAAAAAAAAAAAAGCTGTGAGGCCTAATTTTCCACCTGAGCTATCATTTTCCTTTTATCATCTGTGGGCCATATTTCCTGGTTTCACATTGCCCAGCCACGCTAGGCTTGAATTGGGCGGAGCGGGGAGACCACAACTCCCCAACGGCTCAGCGAGAGCGTCCGTTAGCGTCTGGGCTGGACTCGCCTGAGTGACAGGTCCGCAAGCCAATGGCTTCACGCGCCTCAGACCCGGGGGCCAATCAGATGCTGAGTGGTTGCGGGCTTCCTGTTTCTGCAGCTCCGGACGGACGTGGTCTTGAAAAAACCACGTTCAACCCAGCTCACTTCTCTCTTTTCTTGAAAATAAAAGCTCTATGATCTAATTTTCCGGACCTAAGTTATCATTTTTGTTTTATCCTTTTTGGGCCATCTTTCCTGATTTCAAATGGTGCAGGCACACTTGCCTTGTCTGAACGCAGCCCTGAACTACAGCTGCCAGGAGCCCTAGCGGCGGCGGATGCGGCGCTCTACGACTGGGCTGGGCTCGTACGAGTGACAGATCGAACAGCCTATGGCTTCTCCGGTCTCAGACGCGGGGACCATTCAGAGGCTGGGCGGGCGTGTGCTTCCTGTTTGAGCGGCTCGGGGCGGAAGTGGTGCTGAACCGCGATTCCACACAGCTCTCTTCTCTCTTTTCTTTTAAACAAAGCTCCTTGATCTAATTTTCCTGACCTAAATTATCATTTTGCTTTTATCATCTGTGGGCCATATGTCCTGGTTTCACACCGTCCAGCCACAGTAGGCTTGGACAGGGCGGAGCGGGGAGACTACAAATCCCAAACGGCTCAGCGAGAGCGTCGCTTTGCATCTGGGCTGGACTCGCCTGGGTGACACGTCAGGCAGCCAATGGCCTCCCCCTGTCTCAGACCCGGGGGCCAATCACAGGCCGGGTAGTTGTGTGCGTCCTGTTTCTGCGACTCGGGGCGGAGAAAGTCTTGAAAGGAACCCCGTTTCAACCCAGATCTCTCCTTTTCTTGGAAAAAAAAAAAGATCTATGATATAATTTTCCTGACCTAAGTTATCATTTTTCTTTTATCATCTGTGGGCCATATTCCCTGGTTTCACATTGTGCAGCGACGCTCGGCTTGCACAGAGCGGGGCGGGGAGACTACAACTCCCAGAAGCCTCAGCGGCGGCTGCGGCGCTCTACGTGTGGGCTGTACTGGCCTGAGTGACAGGTAGCCGACCCAATAGCTTCCCCGGTCTCAGACTCCGGACCGCTCACACGTCGGGTGGGTGTGTACTTCCTGTTTCGGAGGCGTCTGCTCGGGGCGGAAATGGTGTGGAAAGGAACCGTGTTTCAACACAGCTGTCTTCTTTCTCTTCTTTTAAAAAAAGCTCTGAGGCCTAATTTTCCTGAGGTAAATGATCATGTTTCGTCTGTCACCTGTAGGCCATATTTCCTGATTTCACATTGCCCAGCCACCCTCTGCTTGGACAGGGTGGACCGGGGAGACTACAACTCCCCAAAGCCTCAGCGGCAGGGCGCTCTGCGGCTGGGCTCGTCTGAGTGACAGGTCGGGCAGCCATTGGCTTCACGCGGTCTCAGACTCCGTTGCCAATCAGATGCTGAGTGGTTGTGTCGCCCTGTTTCTGCGGCTCGGGGCGGAAATGGTGTGGAAAGGAACCGCCTCGAGCCACGCCCCTCGCGGCTCCTGACTGGACGCGGGAAGTGACGTCTGCGCGCACCACGCGGCAGTCGTCCCGCCCATGTCCAGCTCGGACCGGACGGGGCAGCTTCGGGTCTGTGTCCCGCGCACGTCCCTGGCAGCCCCTGAGCGGGCGCGTACCCGCCTGTCCGTCCGCCAGAACCTCGCCCTGTAGCTTGGCCCTGCCTGCCCTTGTCTGGGAGGAGGAACGCGCAGTAGGAGCCCAGAACCTGTCTTCTGCCACGCTGCCTGCCCGCGCCCAGCACGGGCGGGACAGGCCGCACTGTTCCTCCTCATCCAGCAGAGCCACTCAGGGCCGGGCAGAGGGCGAGGTTCTGAACCTAGACCTGCGCCTCACTCGTCCAGGGAGGCCAGGCAGCCACCGGCGAGGAAGGAGGTGGCGTTCTGAGCGCGCACTGGAAAAAGTCATTAGCGGCAGTGCAGAGGGCGGGAGGAGGCGCCCTCCGACAGCTTCCGGGTCGCGTTAGGGGTAGCAGGAGCGCTAAGGGGGTGGGGTGCTGGCGGGAGACTGACAGGTTCCCGGTCCAGTCAGGGGCAGAAGGAGCGCCAAGGGGGTGGTGTGCTGGCGGGAGACTGACAGGATCCCGGTCCAGTCAGGGGCAGGCAGCACCGCCAAGGGGGTGGGGTTTAGGCGGGAGACTGACAGGTTCCCCGTCCAGTCAGGGGCAGAAGGAGCGCCAAGGAGGTGGGGTGCTGGCGGGAGACTGACAGGATCCCGGTCCAGTCAGGGGCAGGCAGCACCGCCCAGGGGGTGGGGTTTAGGCGGGAGACTGACAGGTTCCCCATCCAGTCAGGGGCAGAAGGAGCGCCAAAGGTGTGGGGTTTAGGCGGGAAACTGATAGGATCACGGTCCAGTCAGGCGCAGGCAGCACCGCTAAGGGGGTGGGGTTAAGGCGGGAGACAGACAGGTTCCCCGTCCAGTCAGGGACAGAAATCGCTCCAAGAGGGTGAGGTTTAGGCGGGAGACTGACAGGATCGCGGTCCAGTCAGGGGCAGGCAGGGGAGCCAGTGAGCTGTGGTTTGAGCGGCAGACTGACAGGTTCCAGGTCCACTGGGGTAGGGAGGGGAGCTGAGGAGGTGGGGTTCTGGCTGCAGACTTGGAGGTTCCGGGTCCCATCGGGGCAGGCAGAGGAGACGAGGTGGGGTCCAGGCTGCAGAAAGAAAGATTCCTCGTCCAGCAGGGGCAGGCAGAGCAGATAAGGAGGTGGGGTTCTGGCCACAGACTGACAGGTTCCCGTTCGTCGAGTCAGGGGCACTCGGGTGAGCCAAGAAACTGTGGACGTTTACTTCTTCCTGAGAGGATGCGGTCTGAGAGGAGGAGCGTGGTGGGGGCAAGAGGTGCGGAGTCACCGCATGGACGCCGGGAGGCGGGTGAGAGCAGTCCTGAGGCGGGCAGCCAGCAGACTGACTCGTTTATTTCAGTTGCTACAGCTGCTTCTATGGCCAAGACAGCCCATCCAGTCAAGGGGCGGTCTAGGCCCTGACCAATCACAGGCTGTGGCCAGGCGGTTTCCAAAGCCATCCAATCACAGCCTGTGGCCAGGCAGGCTCTTGGTGCCAGGCAGGTTCTGAAACCATCCAGTCACGGCCCGCCATCAGTCAGGCTCTGTTGTCATGTGGTTTCTGAAAGCATCCAATCACGGCCGGCTGGCTGTCAGTCAGGCTCTGTTGTCATGTGGTTTCCTCTGTTGTCATGTGGTTTCAGAGGCCATCCAATCAGGGCCTGGTGCCAGGCAATTTCTGTGGTCAGCGGCCATCTTGGCATGACCTTTTCTCCTCGGCGGCCATCTTGGCATGACCTTTTTCCCTCAGTGGCTATCTTGACATGACCTCTTCACCTTAACGACCTTTTCACCTTACCCCTTGCCATAGTGCACAGGGAACCTGTCAGCCTGCGACCAGACACTCCCCCTTAGCTCTCATGCCTGGACATTTTGGTCCAGGATCCTTTCCGTCTGTGGCCAAACCTGGGAACCTTTCCATCTGTGGCAGGAATCTCACGTCCTTGGCTCACCTGCCTGCCCCTGAGGGGACCAGGAACCTGTCGGTCAGCAGCCAGAGCCCACCCCCTTAGTCTCCACTGAGTGGCCCTGACGGGACCGGGAACCTGTCGGCCTGCTGACAGAACCCCACGTCATTGGCTCCGCTGACTGCCCCTGACAGGATGGGAACCTGTCCGTGTGTGACCGGAAACCAACCGCTTTAGCTCCTCTGCCTGCCCCTGATGGAGGTGGAATCCGTCACTCTGCGGCCAGAACCCCACATCCTTGGTTCCACTGACTTCCCCTAATGGACCCAGAACCTCTCGGCCTCTGGCCAGACCCCACCTCCTTGGCTCCCCTTCCTGCCCCTGATGGGACCGGGAATCTGTCAGTCTGCCGCCAAAACCCCACCCCTTAGCTCCCCTGCCTGGCCGTTCTGGACTGGGAACCTGTCAGTCTGCGACCAGAACCCCACCTCCATGGCTTCCCTGACTGCCACTGACAGAACTGAAACCCTGTCAGTCTGCGTCCAGAACCCCGCCTCCTTAGCTCCCCTGCCTTTCCCTGATGGGACCAGGAACCTCTCAGTCTCTGAGCAGAACCCCACTCCATCTGCTCCCCTTCCTGGACATCCTGCACCGGGACCTGCCAGTCTGACTCCAGAACCCAAACTCCTTAGGCTCCCCTGCCTGCCCCTAACAGCACCGGGTCATGTCAGTCTGCGACCAGAGGCTCACCTGTCTGCCCCTGACTCGACCTGGAACCTGTCAGTCTGCGGCAGGAATCCCACGTCCTTAGCTCCGCTGCCTGCCCCGAACAGAACTGGGAACCTGTCAGTCTGTGGCCAGAACCCCACCTCCTTAGGCTCCCCTGCCTGCCCCTGACTGGACCAGGAACCTGTCAGTCTGCAGCCAAAGCCACACCCAGCTTGGCTCCACTGAGTGCTCTTGACAGGACCGGGAACCTGTCAGTCTGTGGCCAGAACCCCACGTCCTTAGCTGCCCGCCCGCCTTTGATAGACCTGGAACCTGTAGTCTGCAAAAAGAACCCCACCACCCTGCCTCCCTGTCCTACTCCACACGGACATGGAACCTGAAAGTCTGCCGCCAGAACCCCACATCCTTAGCTCCTTTGGCTGCCCCTGATGGGACCAGGAGCCTGTCAGTCTGCATGCAGACTTCATGTCCTTAGCTCCCCTTATTGCCCCTGACTAGACCAGGAACCTGTCAGTGTGCAGCCAAACCCCACATCCTTAGCTCCACTGCCTACCCCTGTTGGAAATGGAACCCGTGAGTCTGTGGCCAGAACCCCACCCACTTTGGCTCCCCTGCCTGCCCCTGACAGGACCGGGAACCTGTCAGTCTGCGGCAGGAACCCCAAGTCCTTAGCTCTCCTGCCTGCCCCTGACTGACCCAGAACCTGTCACTCTGCGACAGTTCCTGATCCAGTCAGGGGCACTCAGTGGATCCTAAGGGAGTGGTTTCTGGCTGCTGCAGACTGAGAGGTTCCCTTCCCATCAGGGACAGGCAGGGGTCTAAAGAGGTGTGGTTCTGGTCACAGTCTGACAGATTCCTGGTCCTGTCATGGGCAGGCGAGGGAGCTGATGGTGTGGGGTTTGGGCCGCAGACTGACAGTTTCCCTGTCCAGTCAGGGGCAGGCAGGGAACCAAGAGGTGGGTTTCTGGCCGCAGACCAACAGGTTCCCATTCTCATCGTGGGCAGGCAGGGGAGCTAAGCAGGTGCAGTTCTGGCGGCAGACTGACAGGTTCCTGTGCCAATCAGGGGCGGGCAGGGGAGCCCAGGAGGTGGGGTTCTGGCGGGAGACTGGCAGGTTCCGGGTGCCGTTAGGGGCGTCAGGAGAGCTAAGGGGCTGGGTTTTGATAGCAAACTGACAGATTCCTGGTTCAGTCAGTGGACCCGCGAGGGAGCGAAGGGTGTGGGGTTCTGGCTGCAGACTGACAGGTTCCCTGTCCAGTCAGGGGTACTCAGTGGAGCTTAAGGGGGTGGGGTTATGGTGGCAGACTGACAGGTTCCTGGTCGTGAATGGATAGGCAGGGGAGCTAAGGGGGTGGAGTTCTGAACAGACTGAGGTTTCCTGGTCCCATCAGGGGCAGGCAGGGGAGCTGAGGATGTGGGGTTCTGGCCACAGACTGACGAGTTCACAGTCCTCTCAGGGGCATGCTGGGGAACTAACAAGGTGGGGTTCTATGTGCTGACTGACAGGTGTCCGGTCCTGTCAGGGGCACTCAGTGGAGCCTAAGAGGGTGGGGGTTCTGGCTGCAGACTGACAGTATGGACGGCCCAGTATGGACAGGCAGGGGAACTAAGGACCCTGGTTTCCTGCCACAGCCTGACAGTTCCAAGTACCGTCAGGGGCATGTGGGGAGCTGGCGAGTGGGGGTTCTAGATGCTAGCTAACAGGTTCCTCATCCAGTCAGGGGCATTCAGTGGATCCTAAGGCAGTGGGTTTCTGGCTGCAGACCGAGAGGTTCCCCGTCCCATCAGGGGCAGGCAGGGGAGCTAAGGGGGTGGGTTTCTGGCGGGAGACTGACAGGTTCCCCGTCCAGTCAGGGGTAGGCAGTGGAGCCTCAGGGGGTGGGGTCCTGGGCGCAGAATGACGAATTCACAGCCAATGGCTCCCCCCGTCTCAGACGCGGGGACCAATCAGACGCTGGGCGGGCGTGTGCTTCCTGTTTCAGCAGCTCGGGGCGGAAGTGGTGCTGAACCGCATTTCACACAGCTCTCTCCTCTCTTTTCTTTAAAAAAAAAAAAAAAAAAAGCTGTGAGGCCTAATTTTCCTGACCTGAGCTATCATTTTCCTTTTATCATCTGTGGGCCATATTTCCTGGTTTCACATTGCCCAGCCACGCTAGGCTTGAACTGGGCGGAGCGCGGAGACCACAACTCCCTAACGGCTCAGCGAGAGCGTCGCTTTGCGTCTGGGCTGGTCTCGCCTGAGTGACAGGTCCGCTAGCCAATGGCTTCACGCGGCTCAGACACGGGGGGGGGGGGGGGGGCAATCAGATGCTGGGTGGTTGCGGGCTTCCTGTTTCTGCGGCTCCCGACGGAGGTGGTCTTGAAACAAACCACGTTCAACCCAGCTCACTTCTCTCTTTTCTTGAAAATAAAAGCTCTATGATCTAATTTTCCGGACCTAAGTTATCATTTTTGTTTTATCCTTTTTGGGCCATCTTTCCTGATTTCAAATGGTGCAGGCACACTTGCCTTGTCTGAACGCAGCCCTGAACTACAGCTGCCAGGAGCCCTAGCGGCGGCGGATGCGGCGTTCTACGACTGGGCTGGGCTCGTACGAGTGACAGGTAGCACAGCCTATGGCTTCTCCGGTCTCAGACTCGGGGACCAATCAGAGGCTGGGCGGGCGTGTGCTTCCTGTGTCAGCGGCTTGGGGCGGAAGTGGTGCTGAACCGCATTTCACACAGCTCTCTCCTCTCTTTTCTTTTAAAAAAAAAAAGCTCCTTGATGTAATTTTCCTGACCTAAATTATCATTTTGCTTTTATCATCTGTGGGCCATATGTGCTGGTTTCACACCGTCCAGCCACAGTAGGCTTGGACAGGGAGGAGCGGGAAGACTACAACTCCCAAATGGCTCAGCGAGAGCGTCGCTTTGCGTCTGGGCTGGACTCGCCTGGGTGACACGTCGGGCAGCCAATGGCTTCCCCCTGTCTCAGACCCGGGGGCCAATCACAGGCCGGGTTGGTGTGTGCGTCCTGTTTCTGCGACTCGGGGCGGACATGGTCTTGAAAGGAACCGCGTTTGAACCCAGATCTCTCCTTTTCTTGGAAAAAAAATAAAATAAAAGCTCTATGATCTAATTTTCCTGACCTAAGTTATCATTTTTCTTTTATCATCTGTTTGCCGTATTCCCTGGTTTCACATCGTCCAGCCACGCTCATAACTCTGTCTCCGTGTCGCGTTCTGCCTGCCTTAGAAAGGCACATAGCACGGTTTCGCCTTCGGCCCTGCCTACCGCTTACTAAACGAAGAATATACTGATCGGTGCACAGAGGCTCACTGCGTTCCCCGCCTGTGCGTCTGACGGGCGTATGAAATGCTAGTCTACACTCAGAGCCCTATTTCAGCCTGTCCCTCTCAGTCCCTTGCTATTGAAATAATAAATAATAATATATTTTTCAGTCCCCTTTCCCGACCCTGCTTCTAGCCAGCTGGAGGCACTGTGAGTCTGAACCCAGAACTCATTCTCTGTCCCTGCTGCTGTGACCGCCGTCGGATCCTGACTGGACGCAGCTCCTACGCCGCTTTTCCCATAATCCCGCCTCCTTTCCTGCCGCTGTCTGTCCTAGTGCTGTTCGTCGTGTTGGCCGGCGGAGCTGCCCGTTTCTATTAATAATTCCACCGTTGTGGACGCGCGGGCCGAGTCCTGAATGGCCTGGGAATGTTCTTTATCCTTTTGTAGTACATTGCGATAGGCGATTTCGGTGTTACTGACGCAGAGTGTTTCCTTTTAACTGAATACGCAGTGCCTTCAGTGTTGCAGCTGGTGTTGTACCATGGGCTGCGTTTCCGGTCATAAAATGCTGCGGCGCTAAGGGATGCGACGTCGTAAACTGTCGTGATTCCATTTCCGATGCTGACCGTAAAGCGTTCGTTTTCCGGTAAAACTTGGCTGTCGGATCGAGGCGTGCGCGGCTTTGCCGTGAGTTGAACCGTCTGTGTTATAAGCTACTGTAGAGCCTCGCTGGTAATTGTACAAAGAAAAAGCTTAGTGAAGTTGGTGTTCCACTATGCCGAAAAATAAAGGTAACCGTAGTGGGTTCCAACAAATCGCCGTCCTTAACCGTGTCCACGAGTCTAGGCCGTTCTGACCGTTTTTCTGTCTTGAAAAGTTCGCCCATTTTCCAATTTAGTCCCACTGAAAGGGATTAACGTTATATTTGATTTGTGTATCTTTGTGTTTTCTGCCGGAAAAGATGGGCTTTTCATACTGGTTTCCCGCTACACTTAAACGCGGCCTCAAAATAAACAGTCGTTTTTTTGGATATTAATATTTGAAAATTGACAACTACGATTGCTTATTTATTTTGTAAATACTTCATTTAACAACTTTTCGAATTCTGTTAATTTTCCAGTGCTCAAAATTCATGTATTTTGCATTTTCGTCAAAGTTTAAACGAACTCCGTTTAATACTTGAAAATATTATACAGATCACTGATCTTAACTGCTTAAACTTCATTAGGTAAAGGAGGTAAAAACAGGCGCAGAGGTAAGAATGAGAATGAATCCGAAAAAAGAGAATTGGTGTTCAAAGAAGAAGGACAAGGTAAGAATTTTAGAGTTATATTTCTTTGATTTACCATATCATTAGTAAACATTACCATCTTAAACTTCTGCATTTGTATCTCATGTCACCACTGTTGTTTCTCTATTTTTATAGTCAACACCTGTTCATAATTTATTCACTAAATTACTTAGTGTATTGACTCTCCTGTGAAGACTTATTTGTGACATATTTAACAGCATAGCTTTTTTTCAGGATTATATGGGTAGAATCAAGATGATACAATAACAAGTAACTTCACCATTTTCTACCATGTAAACGAAATAAAAGCAGAATACTAACACTGAATAATTTTTATAGCAGTAAATAATCTTAAATACGGCCGGTGCCGCGGCTCACTAGGCTAATCCTCCGCCTAGCGGTGCCGGCACACCAGGTTCTAGTCCCGGTCGGGGCGCCGGATTCTGTCCCGGTTGCCCCTCTTCCAGGCCAGCTCTCTGCTATGGCCAGGGAGTGCAGTGGAGGATGGCCCAGGTGCTTGGGCCCTGCACCCCATGGGAGACCAGGAAAAAGCACCTGGATCCTGGCTCCTGCCATCGGATCAGCGCGCTGCACTGGCCGCTTTGGCCACTGGAGGGTGAACCAACGGAAAAGACCTTTCTCTCTGTGTCTCTCTCATGGTCTATAACTCTGCCTCTCAGATAAATGTAATCTTTTTTTTTAAAGATTTATGTATTTGAAAGGGTTACACAGAAGTTTTTATTCACAAGAAGCCATGAGCTAATGTATAATCTTTAAGTTTTTTTTTTGTTTTTTGTTTTTTTTTGACAGGCAGAGTGGACAGTGAGAGAGAGAGAGACAGAGAGAAAGGTCTTCCTTTGCCGTTGGTTCACCCTCCAATGGCTGCTGCGGCCGGCGCGCCGCGCTGATCCGATGGCAGGAGCCAGGAGCCAGGTGCTTTTCCTGGTCTCCCATGGGGTGCAGGGCCCAAGCACCTGGGCCATCCTCCACTGCACTCCCTGGCCACAGCAGAGGGCTGGCCTGGAAGAGGGGCAACCGGGACAGAATCCGGTGCTCAAATGGGATGTTAGCATTGTAGGCCAGGGTGTTAAACCACTGCACCACAGAGCTGGCCCCATAAATAAAATCTTTAAAAAAAATGCACATTGGACAGTTAACTCAGAAATCAGGAAAAGTGACCAGCTAACATGTGAAAACTTCACAATTTAGGTTTTCAAATTAATGAAAATATAATTATAAATTCATCATATTGTGTCATAGAGTTCTGAAATTTTACTCTTGTGAGGATTTTGTAATCTGTTTCCCTTCTATTTGTTTATTGATTATTTCTAGAAGATTGCTGTGTGCTATCATTCATATTTTTATTTTTTCTTTATTTTAAAATTATTGTTTTAATTGCCCATATTTTTGTGGTATAGTATGGTAATAGATTCATATATACAAATGTGCAATAATTAAATCAGGCTCAGATTTTTTTAAAGAATGGCTTTGTTTGAGAAAAAGAGAAAGAGCTACCATTTGTTGTTGCACTCATGTTCTTAAAGATTTCTTTGAAACACAGAGAGAAAGAGAGAGGGTGACATGGAGAACGACATCTTCCACCACCACTTCTTTCAACAAGTGGTTATAACAGCCAGGGCTTGGGTAGGTGGAAGCCTGCAGCCAAGAACACCATTTAGCTCTCCTGTGTGGTCATCAGGTACATTAACAGGAAGCTGCATCAGAACTGGAGCGGTGATGACTTTGGCATGTGATATAGGCAACCCAGCCCACTGTATCAGATTGCTTATTCCTAGGCTTGTTTCTACTGAAATTGGGCCCGATGTTGTTGGTTGAGAGAAGCAGTAGAAAATGACTCAGCCTAGAGTTTTTTGTGGCCCTTGGGGAAATAAAGCAACAAAAGCGCAATCTCTCTGTATTTCTGTCTGGCTCTGTTTCTCTCTGTCTCTGTAAGTCTGACTTTTCAATAAATAAATCTTGAAAAAAATCACTGAGATTTTATGAGAACAAAGAACATTTTTTGCAACTCTTTTATTCTCCTCAGAGTATGCACAAGTAATCAAAATGCTGGGAAATGGACGATTAGAAGCAATGTGCTTTGATGGTGTAAAGCGATTATGCCATATTAGAGGAAAATTGAGAAAGAAGGTAGGTGTATAGATTTCTTTTATTATAAAATTTGCTGCAAAGAATTACTTTACTTCAGTATACAACTGTTTGCCAAGCAGTTCAATTTTGTAAATTGCCAAAGACTTAAAACGAAACAGTTATTTATTTGAGAACACAAATTAAACTTCTCAAAAGATTCTATTTGTATAAAGAATTATATATTGTAGCTGTAAATGTTTACTGGATAGTTAATATAGAAATGATAAATGATTTCTACAGTACTACATTCAACTAAATGTTAATGTGAAAAAAACAATTTTTTAGTTTTAAAAGTGACAAAAGAGATGGGTAATTCATTCAGTTTATGTGTTACATTTTAGTTAAATAGAACTGCAAATGGTATGAGAAATTTGAATGTGAAGTCCTATAGATTCCTTTTGAAATGTATACATTGTTTAATGATAGTATCCATTTCACTTGAACACTTTTGAAGAGACTTCCTATGTGTGGATTTCATATTTTGGGTACCAGAATTTCTTTTTTAATTTCTTTATGAACTGTTGGAAAACCCTTTGTAGTATGTGTTTTGTGGAAAGATTCATTTAACATTAAAATCATCTTCAAATGAAAATAATATGCTGTAAAATCTGTTTCATAGGTTTGGATAAATACCTCAGACATTATTTTGATTGGTCTCCGAGAGTATCAGGTAAAAACTAAGTTTAAATTTATGTTGCAGCCTCCATAGCAAGTCATTAATTGTTAGGAAACACAGAATTAACATTGTTGGGCAATTCTAGGCCAGTGTGTTTTTAACCATTCTGCTGTTTGCATTTTGTTTAACACTATAGTGTTTTTACTACAATTTATTAATCGTGTATTTGTTTTTATTTTTTGTAAGAAGACTTGGTCAATACAGTTTCTATTTATATATGTATTTATTTTAAATATTTATTTATTTATTTGAAAGGCAGAGTTACAGAGAGCCCGAGACAGAAGCAGTGAGTGAGAAAGAAAGGCCTTTATTTGAAAGATTTACAGAGAGAAGCAGAGAAAGAGACATCTTCCATCCGTTGGTTCACTGTCCAGTTGGCTGCAACAGCCAGAGCTCCACGATCCAGGAGCCAGGTGCAGCTCTGGCTGTTGCAGCCAACTGGAGAGTGAACCAACGTTGGAAGACGTCTCTGTCTCCTCCTCTTTCTCTGTATATCTGTCTTTCAAATAAATAAAATAAATCTTTAAAAAAAAGAAAAAAAACTTCGCAGAATGCACAGAGCAGTCAAAGCTGGAATAAGCCAAAGCCAGGAACCTGAAACTCAATCTAGTTTTCTTATAGGATTTGAGGGTTGTCCCAGCCTCTTTAGTTTTCCAAAAACCTGTTCTTAAGTCATAATTTGTTGTTTTTTGAAACTGAATATTTTGTATGTCATTATGATGTTTTGTTACTACTGCTTGTTTTTAGTGATTTATGAAAAATAGAAGATTGTTTCCCTGTCCTACTTTATTCAGATGAAATTACAGATGACCTATATTTTTAATTATTTAAAATTATATATTTTTTTCTATTTGTTTTAGAATTTTTTAATAGAGTACGGGTGGGTAAAGGAAGAAAAGCAGTGCAGTGTTATGAGTTTTACAAGTTTGTTTATTTCTAAGGATAACAAAGCAGACGTAATTTTAAAATACAATGCAGATGAAGCTAGAAGTCTGAAGGCATATGGCGAGCTTCCTGAACATGGTAATGTCTATTATTATTAATCTACTCTGTCATAGATATTTTCTTTTTTTATTTTTATTTTATTTATTTATTTATTTATTTATTTATTTATTTATTTATTTTGGCAGGCAGAGTGGACAGTGAGAGAGAGACAGAGAGAAAGGTCTTCCTTTGCCGTTGGTTCACCCTCCAATGGCCGCTGCGGCCAGCGCACCGCGCTGATGGGATGGCAGGAGCCAGGTGCTTTTCCTGGTCTCCCATGGGGTGCAGGGCCCAAGCACCTGGGCCATCCTCCACTGCACTCCTGGCCACAGCAGAGAGCTGGCCTGGAAGAGGGGCAACCGGGACAGAATCCGGCACCCAGACCGGGACTAGAACCCGGTGTGCCGGCGCCGCAAGGCGGAGGATTAGTCTACTGAGCCGCGGTGCCGGCTATGTCATAGATATTTTCATTCTTTGTGTTTAGTTGAAGGAATTTTCATGGAGTTGTCTGTGACATTAAATATATACACTTTCTGGTGAGTTTGTAAGTTTGCAAAACTTTGAAACCTGGATTTGTATAAACGTCTGTCAAAGTAACACATTATTAGCATTTTTCCATTTAACATTTCTCAGCCGACTCATAGTTTTCATTTTCTTAAAAAGATTTTATTTATTTATCTGAGAGGTAGAGTTGCAGACAGTGAGAGGGAGAGACACAGAGAAAGATCTGAAAATCAATTGAAATTCTTTGCATTTGAGGAAGTGCCGATGTCTGTGAATTAGTCTAGCACCTCCTTTTCTCTTTTATTATGTATTTATTTTAAAAAGATTTATTTATTTATTTGAAAGACAAAATTACAGAGAGACATAGAGATGAGACAGAGAGAGAGAGGTCCTCCACCCACTGGTTCACTCTCCAATTGGCCGCAATGGCCAGAGCTGTGCTGATCTGAAGCCAGGAGCCAGGAGCTTCCTCTGGGTCTCCCATGTGGGTGCAGGGGCCCAAGGACTTGAGCCATCTCCAACTGCTTTCCCAGGCCAGAGCAGAGAGCTAGATCAGAAATGAAGTAGCCAGGACTCGAACTGGTGCCCATATGGGATGGTGTCGCTGCAGGCAGATGCTTAGCCCAGTATGCCACAGCACCAGCTGTGCGTCACTGTTATTTCTTAAATGATAAACATGATTTGACTAAATCTTGCTCTGGTTTGCTAAGTTTCTCCAGTAGTTGTAGAACTAGTTGTTTTAATCTCATGATGTTTTATACTTCATGTGACTACATGTTGTTTAGTCATACTCATTTGATGTTTTTAAAATTGTTAAATTTTTAAAATGTTATTAAAATTATGTTGCACTGAACAAAAGTGCAGCACATATATTCTCTGTTGTAATGACTTAGGAATAGATGAATTTCTGGGGGATTTTGTTGTTAGATTGCTTTATATAGCTTCATAAAGCAATATATTTTGCTCCTAATAGCAGAACTTTGGTTGAATGGAAGGTTGGCCTATAATAAGACTCTTGCGGTTACTCATTTTAATAACATTTTAATTGTGTAATGAATGTTTTTTATGCATTTATTATTTATTTAGCTAAAATCAATGAAACCGATACATTTGGTCCTGGAGATGATGATGAAATCCAGTTTGATGATATTGGAGATGATGATGAAGACATTGATGATGTAAGTACATGACCCTAAAGGTTGAGGGGGTGTGTTTGCTAATAATGTTTAGTGCTTAATGCATAATGGAAATGCTGTGAATTTGAATATATTATTAGAAACAATCTAGCCAATCTACGTGTTTATACTTGGACAAGCACTTTCTGAAAAGTAATTATTAACTTTCCCAGTGGATATTGCATGGTTACAGTTTGTATAAGCAGAGTATCTAAATAGATATTTCTGTTAAATAAAATAGTAGAAGATTTTTGTTTGAACTAACTTAGTGATATACTGAAATTGCTGCATTTTTTAAAAGGTTTATTTGAGATGCAGAGTTACAGAGAGGTATGAGAGAGAGAGACAGAGGTCTTCCATCTTCTGGTTCACTCCCCAAATGTCTGCAATGGCTGCATCTGTGCTGAGCTGAAGCCAGGAGCCAGGAGCTTTTTCCATGTGGTGCAGGGGCTAATTTACTTATTTTGAAAGAGATGTGAAGAGAGACAGAGAGAGACAGGATCTTCCATTTGCAGATAGCTGCAGCAGCCAGTGCTGGTCTAGGTAGCTTCATTTGGATCTCCCATATGGGTGGCAGGGCCTTCTGCTTGGGCCATCTTTAGCTGGATTTCACAGGCCATTAGCAGGTAGCTGGATCAGATACGGAGCAGCATGGATACTGCTCTTCAAGGCAGAAGCTTAGCCCACTATTCCACAGTGTGCTGGCCCTACTGCAAGACTCTTAAAGCCTGATTGTGGAGACAGATATTATGGAGCATGTAATAGGAAAATACTAATTTCTTTGTGAGGCATTGTTATTGCCCAGATCCTTGGTTTGGTCTTGTTGCATGCTTATTTTGTGCAAACCTAAAAAAGTGATGAGGACACAGAACTGAATGCCTTGCTACTGTTCTGTTGTTAACTCAATTTAAATGAAACATCCTGATTTTCTGTTTATCTATTAAAATAACTATATAGCTTACATTTCAATCTAGATTTTTTCTTACCACAGTGCAACAAAAATAGTTCAGAAAAAAAATCTGCATAGTTGCACACACAAACAATGCACACATAGAAAAACACAAAATGATTTTTTGCAGTTGTTTTTGACCAAGTTCATGCAATATAATAACCAGAGTTTCCAAAAATTATGAAGGCTAGTATCTTTGTGTATGTGCATTAAAAAATTTTAAACACAAAGTAATCTGCTGGTTTTATATAAGTTTAATATATAGTTTATACTATATATCTTAATCTATCTTAAAACATACAGAACTTCCTTTGCAGATCCTAGATACGATGGATTCCCAAGGGTAGAAAGTATTAACAGTTAATTTCTTTGTCAAGCATCAAAAGTGTAACTATCATGGATTCAGGGTAGATTTGTGCATTTTTATAAGATTTTACTTTTCCTTCATTACCTAAAATCCTAACAACTTCTGGATCATTTTTCTGGGAGGTTTATAGGTTATATAATTTTGCTCCTGTGACTAATCACTCAGAGAACAGATTTGGGTAGGACTGTGCCTCATCTAATTGTTAAAGGACAGAAGGGTATACTGAACTTTTAAGGATATTTCCCATAGTAGAACATCTGAAACAGAAAGATTTTACTAATAGTAGATAGGAATTGAGAAAATCTAATGTATAATCTATTTCATTTAAAAGGAATTTGACATGTAATCCTGAAGAGATTCCTATGTTACAATAATTATTTCTTCATGGGTCTCTTTCTTTTCACTTACAGATCTAAATTGAATTCAGTTTTCATTTTCTGAAGACATTAACTGGGAATTTTGACCATCAACTTAAGAAGAATAGAACTTTATTTACCATGAGTATTGTTTATTAAAACAAATTGTCTTAATTCCGTTTTTTTTTTAATGTATTTACTATACTATATTTCTTTAAAAATTGATGTTGAACCATCTTAGGTGACATATTAATTCTTTATTTTTTATATAATGAGACTTAGAAATAAAACATTTTTAAAAAAGAGAAAGAAATGCCTTTTCTACCATTGACAGTCACAGTTGCAAGAAATTGATGTTTAATCAGAATTGAAAATCAAAATTGAAAGTCATAGATTTGTCTGGAATAGTATTTAACTAATTTCTATAGTCTATGGACTTGTTCTGTATCTTTCAGAAATATATTTATGGTCTCTATAACATTTAAGAATGATCAAAATATACTTTGGAATGGTGTCAGCTTAAGTATTTTTATACTGAGTTTGTTACCTTTTATATTTTTGTAACTATTTGTTTTCATCCTTGTAAGTCCATTTGTAAAATGCAGTTTTCAAAATAAGGATGTATGTTACAGTTTTGAATTTATAAGACTTGTGGCTCCAGAAATAGTATATTGAAACTGGAAGAAGTAGCATAGTAATTGATGCCATTTTCTTTAGCATGCATGGAAAAATTGTCAAGATGGTAAGGTACATCAAGTATTTTTTACTCTATGAAAAGTATGTTAAAAGGTGAAATTTTATTTATAACAGTCATCCATTGTAATCCAGTTTTAAGCTTCATAAACAGATGAATTCAGTATTTAAGTGGAAAACTAACTTCTTAGTAAATTTTTTAAACCAAAAAATTGTAAATCTTTTCCTGAACTTGGAGTATGGTATTCTTCCTGTGTACACAAAACTTCCTGTCATTTTCAATGTAATGGGACATCTGTCTTCACAAGAAGACTGGAACCTCATTTTCCAAGAACACAATGGAGCTTTATTATCTCAGAATGCAGTAAGGCATCACTTTTCCCAGAGGGCAAGGGAACTGCCCAACCCCAGAAGGCAGGGTGTGATGACAGAATTGTTAATAAGGTGAGGGACTCCATGGTTGGAAACATGCAGAAGTAAAGGAGACAAGGAGAGAGGAGAAAATAGTTGAGGATTGCAGGTGCTGAGAAGAAAGGATTTGAAATGATAATATACTGCTATAGAATTCACCTGTATTCCATTCCCAAACCACCCAAAGCTAAAAGGTGAGCTTGAGATGGACATTTCCTTATTGCTTCAAAAAGCAATGAAAAACATGTAAGTTTCATTTTTATGCATTGTTTTTGCACTGAGTACTGTATATCAGAGAAAACATATTTGTCTTTTAGGAACTGCCTTATTTCATTACGCAACATGATCTCAAGTCACATCCATTTTGTTAAAAAGACAGGCTTTCATTCCTTTTTATGCATGAGTAGTATTCCATAGTGTATATTTAACAGAATTTTAAAATTCAGCATGAGTTGATGGATAAGTTGATTGATTCTATATGTGAGGTATCATAAATTGAGCTGTCATACTCATAGTAGTGCAAATATCTTTCATTCATGGATATTTTTCTATCATCTGTGTACCATTTATCCGTTTGCTGCAGGAAGTTTTCTCCCATGATATACAAAAAAGATCACGTGTTCACAGTTCAAACAGTCTTCAGAACATACCGGTTCTCATTTGGAATATTTGGAAGATGCATGGTTACAAGTTGTCATAGGCATTTTCTCTGAGAAAAACTTTATAAACAGTTTTCTCTCATGTTATTTTACTGTTTAAAGTTTTCTGCCATTGATTGGCAAACAAATATGATTCAGCCATGTGGTTTGTGTGTCTCCCAGGTGGTTGCAGCAAGTGCACAAGGTCCTGTAGTGTCCCCAGGAACTTGCTATGGTTGCAGCTTGAGCAGCTTAATGAATGGATGGGTGAGCAGGAAACTTCCCTGAGAGCCTCTCTTGGGATTGTAACACTATTCTGAATTGAAATACCCAGCAGAATGGCAGTGTACTTCACAACATTAATAAGAAATGAAATGAAAAATATAAATTTATGGTGCCAGTGCTTTGGCATAGTGGGTAAAGCCGCTGCTGCAGTGCCGGCATCCCATATGGGTGCTGGTTCTAGTCCCAGCTGCTCTTCTTCTGATCCAGCTCTCTGCTGTGGCCTGGGAAAGCAGTAGAAGATGGCCCAAGTCCTTGGGCCCCTGCACCCGCATGGGAGACCCGGAGGAATCTCCTGGCTCGTGGCTCAGCTGTGGCTGTTGTGGCCATCTAGGGAGTGAACCAGCGGATGGAAGACCTCTCTCTCTGTCTCTACCTCTCTCTGTAACTGTCTCAAGTTTGATTGCTCATGGCTGCCTCTGTGCCACTTTCTGACTTCTGTATGTCTGTCTGAGGTTTCATTGGCCTTACCCCCGTCTGTTAGTCTGTGGGTTCAACTGATTCTACCTTCTCTCTGTTTCAGGTTTTATTGCCCATGGCTGCGTCTGTGTTACTGCCTCTCAGAGCTGTTTTCTCTCCTTTAGATTTGTTCTGACTTGTCTGTCTCAGGTTCGAGTGGCTATGTGTGTATGGGTTTGATTAATTCTAGCTTTCTGTGTCTAAGTTTTGATTGACCATGCCTGCCTGTGACTGACTGTGGGTTTGGTTGTAGTACTCTGTCAGGTTTCTTTCTTTTTTTTTTTTTAATTTATAGATTTTATTTATTTGAGAAGCAGAGTTAGAGAGAGAGACAGAGAACCATTTGTTCACATCCCCAGATGGTCACAACAGCCGGTGCTGTGCTGCTCTGAAGTCAGGAGCCAGCAGCAGCATAGGCAAGGGCCAGGGTACATTCCACTCTGGTATTTTGCAAGCCTGGACACTCAGTATGTCAGAACAGTAAAGAAAGAATTTCTTTAGGAACTGGTGCATTCATCTGTGTGCCTGTCAGATTCTGTAGGAGGAGAGAATTTTATTGGGTTTGCCAAAAGAATAATGAGGTTGGGATGGAACACTTTGTTCTCCATTCCTGTGTGTTCTCTGGAAAAAAATAGGGATGTGTTGTACATGAGACAATGTATGACAAAAAACTTAAGTTCCCAGTGTTGCCCATTGACTTATCAGTCCTGCATGGATTGATTTTGCAGTGTGCACTTTGTACTATACATTTCCTCTACCCACAGGTATCAGGAAAGAGAAAAGGCACTCAATATAGGATGAAAAGACACAAATGGCCCTTGACTTCATTCATGTAAACAGTTTTATCCATTATTTTTTTTTTTTGACAGGCAGAGTGGACAGTGAGAGAGAGAGACAGAGAGAGAAAGGTCTTCCTTTGCCGTTGGTTCACCCTCCAATGGCCGCCGCTGCAGCCGGCGCACCGCGCTGATCCTGGCAGGAGCCAGGAGCCAGGTGCTTTTCCTGGTCTCCCATGGGGTGCAGGGCCCAAGCACCTGGGCCATCCTCCACTGCACTCCCTGGCCATAGCAGAGAGCTGGCCTGGAAGAGGGGCAACCGGGACAGAATCCGGCGCCCCAACCGGGACTAGAACCCGGTGTGCCGGCGCCGCAAGAGTTTTATCCATTATTAAAGCATATCTCTCAACCTATCTGATGCTCGATTTTCATTGTAAAATGAGATTAGTGCATGCCTCACAAAAAGGTGGGAAAATTAAATGAGTAAATACATATAGAAAGACATTTCCAACTCTTTAAGTACTATGTTAATGTGAGATTATTCAGCTTGATAATTGTTGGGGTCTCTAGGGTATTTCAATATAATTCCATGGTATGACTTTTGTATATGACTGACAATTGGAGAGTGCCTCTACAGCAAGCCACTTTAAAGATCCAGAAGCCATCTGATGTGCCTATTTTATGACAGGTTGTTCCAGGGCCCTCTGATCATCATTTGAAGTTACAATACAGTCATATTATGACATGTACTAGAAGCTTCCATTTCTACTCTAGTCCTTTTAGATCATGATAATACCCTCTATACATATGCTCTGCATATATTAAGTGATGATTAGAAAATCTGCATTTAGCCACTTGAGGAAAAATTCTCACAGAATCCTGTCAAGCATCTCCATGAAATCCTAAGCCTCCTAGACTTCTTGGCTTCTTCTCAGTCCATCTGATCAAGTCATCCAAGAATCCAGTCACCTACCTATCCACCCATTCATACACTCATGAACATACCAACTCATCCAAACATAACAACTACCCATCCATCCACAACCAGTCACCTACCTATCCACCCATTCATCCACTCACATACAACCACCCATTCATCCACACAACTATCCTTCCATCCACCCACTAGTCCAACTATCCATCAGTCCTACTATCCCATGAGTTCATTGACCCTTGTGTATTTTTGAACATTAATTAATGATCTATCTTTCTAATGTCATACACTGTCTTTTGGTGTAGAAGCAGACCCAGTGCCTGCTCTCCAGGCACATAAAATTTGGCAGTAGAAAATTAGTTGACGAGTTAAACCTGGAGAAATTGACATAGAACCTGAGTAACACTTTATAAGTTATTTTTTTTATTTATTTAATTTTTGGACAGGCAGAGTGGACAGTGAGAGAGACAGAGAGAAAGGTTTTCCTTTTGCCTCCAATGGCCGCCACGGTTGGCGCGCTGCGGCCAGCGCACCACGCTGATCCGATGGCAGGAGTCAGGTGCTTAACCTGGTCTCCCATGGGGTGCAGGGCCCAGGCACCTGGGCCATCCTCCACTGCACTCCCGGGCCACAGCAGAGAGCTGGCCTGGAAGAGGGGCAACCGGGACAGAATCCGGCGCCCCGACCGGGACTAGAACCCAGTGTGCCGGCGCCGCTAGGCGGAGGATTAGCCTAGTGAGCTGCGGTGCCAGCCAGGATATGATTCTTAAAGCAGTGAGTTAAAGCTATCTATTATGTTCCCTTGATGTCTCTGTTAAATCCTAATTATTTAAAAATAGCTGAGTTTTTATTTAGAGCTGTGGGTTATTTAAATATGTGCTTTTTTTTTTTCCAAGCATTTGAATAGTCACCTTGTAACAAGGATCAGATTTGGTCTATATAATGTCATGATGTTAAAGAATTTTATTTCAACCAGATATTTTAGATTTTGAGCTTTCTTGACATCCTTGACAGTCATTCAAAAAATCAAAATTTCAAAAATTTACACTTTGACAATTCCAGATGTGCTCCTGGAAATTTCAAAGACATATGTCTCATCATAGAGAGACACAACTAATCAGGCTATTTGGATTATATTAGAAGTACTGTCAAGATGTGAAGTGGTGCTAAATTTTAAGTTTTATAATATAAAATGCTACTGATATAAATGTCTGAATGTTAAAAAGTTTAATGATCTTGTGTTACTAAATTAATGGTCATCTTAATGAGAAAGGCCCTGAGGTCTAAAAGGATTAGATGCTTTCTAAAATCCTACAGGTGCTTTTGAAAATACTGTGTGGAGTTAGCAAGTGCCTCTTGTTGGTTGATGTGTTTATAATTTTAAACATGGCTATTTGAAGTCTTGTCATCCACAGTTTTATATATCAGATTTTCTGCTCATGAAACTAAAACATTGTTGATTCTGTGTTTAGCTGCCCTCCCATAGCTTCTGATGGACTTTTTCCAGTTACTTCTATTGTATTCAGTACTATGGGATGGTTCTGTAAACAGATGAAGCCAATAATGCACTACAGGTTCCAATTCAGAGAAAGCATGGTTAATACAGGCTACTTAGAGCAGAAAGTAATTTGAATCAATTAGTAATTTAAAAAACAAAGAGTTTAAGAAGCTATTACTGAAGCTGCTTTATTGTCCTATCTTGTATGTTATGTTACATGTGTGTACATATTG